GTGTGTGTGTGAGAGAGAGAGAGAGAGAAAGAGAGCGAGAGAGAGAGAGAGAGAGAGATTACGGGAATTTACGGCAACAGGTTAGTCTCCAAGGCCGCGGCTGGCCTCGCGCAACTTCCATCGAAAGGATGAGCAAAATCAATCAATCAATCAATCAATCAATCAGTCAATCAATCAAAATCAATCAATCAATCAATCAAAATCAATCAATCAGTCAATCAATCAATCAATCAATCATCCAATCAATCAACCAATCAATCATTGACAACCAATCAATCATTGACAACCAATCAATCAATCAACCAATCAATCAACCAATCAATTTATCAATCAACCAATCAATCAATCAATCAATCAATCAACCAATTAATTAATCGAACCCTTTCTTTTTTTTTACACCCCCGGGCCCCTTTTTTTTTTATTTTTTATTTTTTTTATGGGAAAGTACCCCCTGACACCCGACACCCCCCCAGCCCATCCACCCCCTCAACACCCCCCCAGAAGGCGACGTACGGAGGGCCCAAAGTCCGTACGGAGGGCCCAAAGTCCGTATGTATGGGCCGTACGGGCACCGGGGGGCCCGTACGTACGGCCGTACGGCCGTACAGACAGGCCATATTCGTACGGGTGTATACACAGATCCTACAGTTTCCTGGCAGAAAAATTCATCAGTAAAATGCAAACTGACCTGGCAAATTCTTCTGAAAACAGTGAATAGGAAATTTGAAAACATGAGGTGACAAACATGGTGAGAAGGAAGTAGTGTCATCACTTTCATTTTCCATAAGAAAACCTGGGAAGTGAGTAGTCACTCATGTATTATACACGGAAATCTTTTTGTCCATGTAAATTAAAAATGAATCGAACTTACAGCCGTATTACATTTTGCAGATTCCCTAGCTCTGGCGGTATGCTTCCTCCAAATCTGTTCTCGCCAAGGTACCTATGTGAAGCATTGGGTTGCATTTTCAAAGTCAGCTTACTGGTAAGCATAGGAAGAAGTACTTTCGTCTGGCAATCCAACAAGCAATTCTGTGAAGGACAAACCATGATAAATCCAAGCGTTGCAAGGGATGCTCAAGGAAAGAATCGCCTTTTAGAAAGCACCAGGAGAATGGTTATGCCTGATCAATGTCAGCCATAAATAAGAATAGGAAGAAGACTATGTCCCCACTTGCTCGTCCAGGTGAGAGATGAATATATATTGTCACATAACTATGAACTAAAAGAGTGCAATTGCGAAATGGCAAAAAAAAAAAAAAAAAAAAAAACTGAAGGGCACAGTGAAACCATTCATTTTACTCGTTCTTCTTTTGACTCCC